CTCCAGTGTCCCTCTTTTCTTTCTTATGAGGACAGCAGTCCCTGGATTTAGGGTTTACTCAAAACCCAGCACATCTCATCTCAGATCTCCAGGCACACCTGCAAAGCCCTATTTCTAACTAAGGTCACAGTCACCAGGACTGGGGACTTGATTTATCTGCAAACAGTCACTGTGTGTGAAGTCAGACCCTGCCCAGTGGAACGGGGACCTCCCGTGTGGTGCCAACTAGTGATGGAGCCCTAGGTTGGTTCAATAGAGAGATGACTGCTGTTTGTCACCTTCTGCTAGACTGACTGGGACATTCTTATCCTCTCCCAAAGTGAAAGCTCCACAGGAGAAAACTCTATGCCTTTTTTTTTTTGGAACTGGGGATTGAACTCTCAGGCCCTTGCGCTTGCCAGGGAAGTGCTTATTCTACTGGGCTATCTTTCCAGCCCCTACCTTTTGTGTTCTTCCTGGAGCCCAAGAAGCAGGGCGACCCTCCAGTGGAGTTCACCACTGACAGAGAGGAAGAGCTCTTTGGGTGGTTCCACAGCATCCGGGAGATCACCACCAAGATAAGCGTCTGTCCACCTGGGCACAGGTGGGCCTCGGGGCTCTTCTGGGGCTGTTCAGTGTTCTGGAGAAGCTTTGCTGGCTTTTCTGATATGGATTCAGCTGTTCTTATCATCAAAGGATCTCAGGACCTCATCAAGGATGAGTGTGGCACCTTTCAGGGGAGCTCTGGTGCTCGCCATGAGCGTGACTTCCTGGCTCCAGAGCATTGCGCCCAGCCTTCTGGCACAGATCCTTCATTCCACTGGTGCAGACTTTCTAGCTTCCACTACTGACCTCTGGACCCTCACAGTGGTCCAGATCCATGAAGCAGACTTGGATGAGATTTTGTTGGGGGCTCTTGGCCTCCAGTGGACTCATGGGGGGCATTGTCAGGGTTTGCAGATCTTTAGCTGGACTCATGCAGGACATTGCCTTGGGTCCAGGCCCTCAGCTGGAGTCTTTGGTCGCTAGCGTGGGGATAGATTCCCTACATTCCTCTGTACTTTACTCCTTGGCTGAACATTATAAAATAACGCTATAAATTATGTGTCGTGCATTAAATCATTTCCCTTGTAGACCCTGATACAGTGGTGTTCTTCTGAGGTTACCGAAAGGACAGCTCCATACTTTGTCCTAGCACTATGTGTCTGATTCCATGTCCTGCTGTCTTAACCCAATTTAATGTCACCTCTCACCAAATTACCCCGGGTGCATGACGCTTGCTTCTGGCAGGGCCCTCCAGCGTGGGAGCCTGCTTTGATGGGGCAAGGTGTCTGCATTAGCATTGAGTGGCATTCGTGTAGGGCAGCTGGAGGCAGGACTGAGCAAGGCAGAGCTGTGGTGAGGCGGGGAGAGCCTGGCAAGCTCTGCTGCCTCCTCCCCAGTCCTCGCAGCAGTCCCCAGGCACCTCGCAGAGAGTGATGGGTGGGCGTCTCGAGGAGGGCTCTGGTGGGCCCACAGTGGAGGGCCTGGGGGTAGGCAAGGAGCCCATGGGCTCTTGCCGTGACTCAGGGTCACCCAGGCTGTGAGTTCTGATGCTGAAGGCAGGATGCATTCTAGTAAGATCTTCGCTAGGACCTGGTAGTCAATCGTAAGGGGCAGAGTGGTAACATGGCATAGGTGGGGCAAAGGCAGGGGCTTTGGGTTAGACAAGCAGTTTAACCATGATCTTGATGCTGCATGGCTGTGTGCCCTGGGAGAAGCCACTCAATCTCTCTGTATACATGGAGATAAATTCCGCCTCTCAGCAGACATGTGAGCCAACCTAGCCAATTTACCCATCCAGCACTTAGCATGTGATGCCCAACACCCAGCACTTTCCAAAGGGTCATGGTTGTCATTTATTGTTTCAGAGGTCCCTTTGGCCAGTGAAAGGTTGGTCAGAATGGAGGCGGGGGCAGGGGGTTGAGAGGGTTTCCAGGGGGAAGAGTCTGCAGGCCCATGTCTAGGCCCTCTGGACCACAGCGCAATGGGCAGAGTCGGAGAAAAAGAGGCCGCACACACATCTCAGCGGTGCAGGGAGGGAAGGGTGCTGCTCTGCAGAGCTGTGAATTTGGAGGACTGGAATTGGATGACTGTGTTTTTAGGGGAGGGGACAGGATGGGAGGCAGGGACCAGAGGGTTGAGTGACAAAAGGGCTCCTGTCCTGCCATCCTGGCCCCCGTCTACTTCTGAGAGCCATGGTCAGGACCAAGCCAGACACTAGAAAGGGTAGAAACAACTTGATGGAGAACAGGAGATATGAGGGGCAGGAGAGAGAGAAGAAAGCAGGACAGTCCTCATGACAGGGTTAGGATGCAGCTCTGCATGGTGCGCATGTGCAAGGTGGAGGGATGGGGCGGGCTGTGGGGTTACTCGGGCCAGCTGAGGGCTGTGGCTGAGCAGGCTGGGTTCCCACAGGAGAACAACATGAAGTACTGGGAGAAGAACCAGTCGATCGCCATTGAGCTCTCCGACCTGGTTGTCTACTGCAAACCAACCAGCAAAACCAAGGACAACTTAGGGAACCGTGCCCCGGGAACGTGCCCCAGGTGCGGTGAACCCCGTGGTGTCCTGAGTCTGAGGTCAGAGGGGGCACAGTGAGCGTTCGCCTGCTCATCCTTGCTGCTTGACTGCATGAGGCGGAAGCCGCAGCTCACGCTTGTTCACTGGTCCCTTTTCATCCTGGCGGTAACACTCCACTAGGGGGTGGGCTGGCCTCCTACGGCGGTGGTATCAAATCACCATCTAGCTGGTGGCTGGAAATGACACACGTTTGCTCTCAGAGGCTGAAGTCAGTTTCTAGGCCCTAACTGAGGTGTGAGGAGCACTGCACACCTTCCAGAGGCCCCAGGGGAATCTGTTCCTTGCTTCTTCCAGCTTCTGGTGGTTATTGGCATCGCTTGTGGACCACCAAGGGCTTGTGGTCCCTTGGCTCCATTGGCGGCCTTGCTGGGTGCGTGGCCATGTCCTCTTCCACTTCCTATTACAAGGACCCTATAATTGCAATAGGTTGAGCTGGGTAATCCAGGATAATCTCTCCATGTCTGCTATGGATTGTGTCTATTTGTCTCCCAAAAGCCGCATGCAGTCATTGGGGCAGCTTCTAGAGTTTGATTAATTCATGATTCAATGCAAGGATTATGGGTGTGAGTGCTACGCCCACCCTGGGGTGGGTAATCTGCATGCAATATAAGGAGGGGAGGGAGGCTAGCTAGCTGCCACAGCAGCTGTTCCTCCCTTAGCTCTTTGCTGTTTTTCCATCACCATGAACTGCTGCCCTTTTCCATGTGCCACTCTGCCTTGCAGCCAGCCAAGGATGGACTGAAACCTCCACACACTGTGAGCTAAATAAACCTTTCTTTCTTTAATCTTGGGTGTTGGCTATTTTGTCCCAGCAACCAGAGAAAAGTAACTGAGACAATGTAAAACTCCTTAACTTGATTACCTGTGAGGTCCCTTTCAATATATAACAGCATATTCATCTGTCCTGAGCCTTAGGACCTGGACATTTTGGGGACCATTATTCAATGTACCACAGAGGGATTAAATAGTGTCAGACTTGGACGGGTTTCCCCTGCTGGAATCTTTATTCCAGACCCCATATTTTCCTGGGGTCAGATCCTACTTGCCCGCTGCCTCCAATGATCACAGAAAGGCCATGCACCTGCCCCACACGCCCCTCTCAAGGCCTCACTCTCCTTCCAGACAAGTACATGCAGATGAACCACGCATTGTTTTCACTCAATGGGCGGACGGGCTACGTCCTGCAGCCAGAGGTCATGAGGACGGGGAAGTACGACCCAATGCCACCGGAGTCACAACACAAGATCCAGATGACTCTCACCATCAAGGTAGAGGTCACCTGCTCCCCGCGGCTGGGCCCCACACGCTGCCCTGGCAGCGACACTGCCTTGGGGTCAACACCGTGATGGTGCCTTGCGACCTTAGTACACTGTGTGTCTGTCATTCTATGGGGAGGGAAAGAGGGGACTTTTCTGACCATTCTAGTCACCCACAGGGGGTGGTGCCCATCTGTGCCTTTGGGGTCCCTGAACGATCGGCCTAGGGCCAGGAAGACTGAGAAACAAAACATAGAGATGGCCCTTGGTCTTAACAGGTGAGCATCTTCCTTGCTCGCACCACTTACCTCATCAAAGGCTTCAAATCAGGTGAGATGTATTTTAATTAAGGGGTTTGATTTGGGCAACCATCACGCTTCATTCTGTGTTGCTGGCTTTGAAAAGTGCAAAAAAGCATTTTCTTGGTTTTGATCAAATCATTGCAAAACCAGCAGGATGGCTGGGAGAACAGGGGCCTGAACAGTTGTGCACTTAGCACACAAATGTGTGTGTGTGTGTGTGTGTGTGTGTGTG